AAATATCTTAAAGGTTATTAAACATTACACGCGTCTCTTCGGGGTGTTTGTTTTCCGCACAGACATTTATGCACTGCATCTTTTTGTCAGCGTGTACCTATAGTACAGTATGTCAGACAGGATATGAGTTAGAGATGCTGCTTCTGTATGTGAGGGAGACAAAAAAAAACAAAAAAAACAAGCACAGCGAAGAGGAAGCGAGAGCAGCAGAGAGATCAAAGACTGTGCTGGAGCCAGACTCTGTATCAAAAATGAGGTTGGAAGGCTCTCTCTCCTGTCTCCATCCAGTTCTCCCTGATCACGGACCCTGAGGAGAATAAACTCAATCCATGTTAAATTATAGATTAAGGCCCGGGTCTGGCTATGGCTTGGCAGCTGGCGGCTGAATACCCATCAAGCTGTACTGGGTTTTATACATTACTTCTGCTTCTACTGTTGCCTCACCTATTAAAATTAACATCAAACACTCTCCACAGACCAATAAGAGGATTTAACAGAGGCTGTATGAATATGTAAAGAATATCTATACAATGTTTCAGCTTCTGTTTTGAGGCTTTGCGGATGATTCAACCTTTATCGTTACTTTTCGGTGTTTTTCTCATTGGCAGTCTTTCATGTCACTTTGCTCTTTTACCTGAGACGATTTTGAAAGTGCAAGTTCGTCTTTTCTTATGTGCTGTCAAATATAAAAAGGTAAAAAGAGATATTGTCGCTCTCCATGTTGTTCTTCAGTATTCCAAAGAGACAGGGAAATCTCAAAGCCACTGCATATCATAAATACAGATGCTGTCTATTTCAGTCACATAAACTCTATTAATATCCATACGCACAAGAAAATCAAACAAAAACGCTTTACTCTACTTTTTATGAAAGACATAAGAAATAAATGCAACTTGAAATTAGAAGCATTAATTTCCAAGTTTAATGACATTCAGGTAGCAGATGTGGACAGATGTTGTTTTGTTATCTGTGATGCTGCAGATATGCACAAGCAACGTGTTTGGGGTTTTATCGACAGTGAGAGAAGCCACACCTACAGTCATGTGAAAAACAATGTGTTAACAGGCCTGTATGGAGCCATGTGAAAAACTACATCCATGCTGATTTTCCATAAAAAATTAAGAGCGTATATAGCAGAAAACTGTTTCTTATCAAATGCAAAAACGGAAGTTTGGCAGTTTGCTGATCTGGACAAATTAGATGTGTGTTAACACAATCTTCACAACACAAGGAATGGACGTCACAGAAAATTCACCATGAAGTCAGACTGTGCAGTGCTGCGAGAAACTGCAAAAAACCTCAGGGTCTACAGACCTCAGTTAGCGTCTGAAATGTTAAATTCCTAACAATTCAATACTCAGAGAACGCAGCCCATCAGCCTGTTATGTTATGTTATTGTGATTCCATAGGATGTCTTATTGAAAAAATAAAACTAGTGTTGTAAAGCTTTCCCCGTGCCCTTTCATTTGATATGTTACTCAATATTGTTTCTTAAAAAAAAATTTCAAGGTTAACATTGTTACTGGACGCTAACAGCGACTGTCATGGTCAAATGCTTAGCCAACCTTAGCTCCCCCATGGCCTGGTATACTGATGTAAAGTTTGAAGATGATCCAAACCCAAACTGTGAGTTTTTACTTCAAGTTATTGCTGCTAAAACTGTTCCTACAGGCTAATGAATCATGGGGACTGCATGTTTAATTGATTCATAATCTTCCAGATCTCAGCTGCCTCAATGTGCTTCAGTGAAAGAGTGCATCAGCGTCATCCTTGGCCACATATGAAAGCACAGTGCATTGTCACATTAGGCATATTGTGTATATCATTTACAGTGGAGAATGTACTTGATGGATTATCATATTTATTCATGTATTTTATTTTATTTTTTTTTTGCCAATAGCCTTACAACAGTAACAATACATTCACATCATGGTGCTACTTCCTCCTTCTGAATGTCAGTAAACTTCACAATTGTCAGACGGTCTGATATAAAGAAGCAGCTACTGTAATTTTAAACAATAGCTATGACATAACTCTGGTTACATAAACACCAAACAAACCGTTTTCATGCCACAGAGTTTTATTCACAAAACCAGATGGAGACACATTTAAAACTTGCCTCTCCTTTTTGTCTGAAGTGAAACGCCGTCCTGTCTTCTCTAAGAATTTACTTTAGGGAATAATTATAAATATAGAGCCTGGTGTATGAAAAATAATGAATGTATCATTTTGGTACAGTTTGTGATCTAAAATAGAAATCTGTATCTGTTCTCGACAACAGTAGTGCAGTAGCAACATTTCGTATTTCCGTTGTAATACTTTCATGCAAAACAAATCTCATTGGGCAGTCGAAGGCATCGAGATAATGTCCAGCGTCAATATTAAATATGATGCATGCAGTTTCAACACAATCACCATGCATCGGCAAATAAATGAAAGCATAGTGTAAAGTGCCATGAAAGAGTATTTGCCCCATTCCTGATTTCTTAGTTTTAGTATTCCTCAGACTTAAATGTTTCAAACCATCAAACAAATTTCAATATTATAATATTAGGAAAAGATAACCAGAGTAAATACAAAATGCAGTTTAAAAATAATGATTTCATTTACTAAAAGCCATCCGTACCTACCCAGCCGTATTTGAAAAATTAATTGGCTCCTAAGCAAAGTAGCTGTTTTTGCCACCCTTGGCAGCAGGACTTGAAATTAAGCATTTGTGATAGCTAGCAATGAGTCTTTCACATTGCTATTAAGGAATTCAGGCCCACTCTTCTTTGCAGAATAGTTTTTATTCAGACAGATTGTAGAGTTAGGATGCATGAAGAAAGCATCTCAATTGGATTTCAATTTTTTTTTTTTTTGGAGCCATTGGACTTGCTGGCGTGTTTTGGGTCACTGTCCTGCATTGTCTTTAGAGCACAAACTGATGGCTGGACATTCTCCTCCAGGGTTTACCAGAAGAATTCATGGTTCAGTCGGTTACAGCAAGTCGTCCAGGTCCTGAAGCAGAAAGCACCTCCGGACCATCACACTACCACCACCATGTTTGACTGTTGGCATGATGTGTTCTTTTCCTGAAATGATGGTTAGTTTTATGTCAGGTGTAATGGGACTCAAACCTTTTAAAAAAGTTCAACTTTTGCTTCATCAGCCCACAGAGTTTTGACAAATGTGAGCTCAGCTATGTCCTCTTCCTGGTCAGTAGTGGTTTTCTCCTTGGAGTTCTCCCATGGATGTCATTTTTGTTTAGTTTCTTTCTTATTGTTGAATAATGAACTCTGACCTGAAGTGAAGCAAGTGAGGCAAGTGAGGCCTGCGGTTCTTTAGATGCAGTTCTGGGTTCTTTGGAGTAATTTTGTTAGGAAGGTTCACCACTGTTCCAAGTTTTCTCCATTTGTGGATAGTGCTGTCCTTACCGCTGTGGTTCACTGGAGTCCTAAAGCTTTAGAAATGGCTTTGTAACCCTTTCCAGACTGATAGATGTCAGTGACTTTGTTTCTCAGCTGTTGCTTTTTGAGGACTTTTAACCTACTTCACTTTGTCAAATAGGTTCCATTTAAGTGAATCCTTGATTCAACAGGTCTGGTAATCAGTTCTGGGTTTAGCTCATGAAACTGGACTCAGCTTTTTTCTTTTATATGAAAACGCGGTTAATCAAATTATTTTCATGATTTTCATTATTTTCAATGAGGCAGGCCATGACTTCACATAGATTAGGTTTGGCTAGCTTTTTTCCTTAATAAATGAAGTCATCATTTATCATTTCTTTGATTATCTGAAACATGTAAGTGTGACAAAAATACACAAAGCTTAGAAATCAGTAAGGGGGAAAATACTTTTCATGGCACCGTATATACTGTATGTACACAATCTGCTTTATGAAACTTCCAGTTGGATATTTTTCCATATTTTATATGTACAACACCGAAATCTTGTAAAGGCCATAGTACGGGCACTGAGGAGTCTTCTTTTTTAGCAAGAGTAAGACAAACTCATCCCACTGTGTGTAGTTTAAAGACAGTAAACAATAAAATTTGTAGCTTACAGTTGGGGCACATGTAAAGAGAAAGTAGATCTAACACTGAACTGAACACATGGACATGGACTTACTAGGCATTCATGTATTTTTCTCAATCAAGTGAGCATTCATTAAACATTTTATGAGTCTGGAAATTAAACTATCCCGCTGCAATAAATTATTTTAAGACCCATTAAATAACTACCTAACCATGATATAACACAGACTCACACACACAGAGAGACACGTGCATACAACAAGCCAGCAGACTTTAAATTTGAACCCTGACCTCTTGTTTGAGTCTTTGACGCATATCTGCCTGTTTTCCTCCAGAAAACACACGTCTTGCACACAACAAGCGGCTGGCCAAACAGTTCAATTAACCCACAAACACTGAAAATTACACCATATAGCCAAAGACTTGCAACTGAGGTACCACAGCCTTATCCAGAACACAATCATGCTCCAGTAAACATTCATAATGGCAATTTATATGATTTGTCACAGTGATTCTTTTTTGTTTTGTAAAGGCATTCCAATAGTTTTGGGATTTCTAACACAGTTCCCATTAAAAATATTATAATATTAAGAGACCTTCTTTGGTTTCTTATTCATCCTTCATTCTTATTCAATTCTCATTCATCCCATGACAAGGGATAAAGCTCAGTCCTGAGTTTGACGTAGTGCTTGGGACACCTAGCAGATGAAAGCTGCATTTCATTTACCAATAGTGGGTAGTGCATTTCTCATCAAATCAGAGGACATTTGAATGTTTTCAACTTAATGCAAAGCTTGCCAAACACTTAGCTTATTTTACTTCTTTCCTGCAGATGCTATGTTTCCACCTCCTTGTTTTCTCTGCATCTTTGATCCTAACTGCACTTTGACCCAAACAGTGAGTTTTCGACTGGCTTCACAGTTTCTCTAGACTCTAGGTTTTCATTGTTTTCTCCATCTTCTTCACCTGACTCAGTGTTCTGACCTGATTCTGTACTCTGATTAGACACCGAAGCTCTGCGTGTCTGCTGATAGGATGAGCAGAGATCCTGCCATTTCTTTCGGTTGGCATCGATGCCATCCATCATTGGCTGTAACTTTCTGTTGAGTTTCAGCAGTGCCTGGAAAGAAAGAATGATATTAATAGTTTATTTACTATTACCTTTTCATAAGACCTAAATGCTTAACTTAAATCATAAAGGGTTGTCTGACCTGGTAAAGAGGTTTACAGATCCCATCAATCCATTCAAGCTGTAAGGCAGGTAGTTCATCTTTGCGATTGCGGTCAAAGATTGCCTAGAGAGAGATCTAGTTATATTAAGAAAATTGTGGAAAATTGTGTGACTGACTTTTAAAGCTTCCTTACTTACTGCTGGGATTAACTTAAGCTCTGATCTCTCCCTATCACCTTGCTCGAAGAATTCACTTGTAACCAGCTCTGCAACCTGTGCAGATCGAGGGAAACAAATTAGTTAACTCTAAAAATGATGCACCAGTTTGCTGTTAATAATGGCTTAAACGTACTTTGTTATTTTGTCCTTATTTTAATTTAAATTAAATGAGAAGAACAATTATCTTTCTATTAGTATGGTACTATTATGGGTCATGCTAACGCATCACATGCATTATTTTAGAAAAAAAAAACACATGCACAGGACTGTAAACTAAGCTTTGGAAATATAATTTGGTTGTGTATAAAAAAAATCAAATGAGTGTTTGTGTCCAAGTAAAATTAAGTAAATGGATTAGTGAGCTAATTTAATTTAATGAGAAAGCTCTAGGAAACATGCATTATCGACCTAGATAGAGCAACTGTATGGGTCAAGGATGCAAAAAAAACTTTTTAAATGGCCTTCAGGAAGTGCCCTTATGCTCTTTTTGGAAAAGTCCCAAAGAAACTGAAGCGATGTTTGTGGCACTACCTTAGATGGATTTTTTAATCTAATCTATCCTCCAGTGTCCTGTACCTGTAACATATTCATGACATGGATATATTATAAGAATCCTCTTAATATAGCCATGGCTCAGGGCCACTAGGAAGCAAGTGCATATTCCGGAGTGTATGGAAAAGACCTTCTTTGGTTGTATACCAATTATGTACTTCTTAGCATATATTGGGGAAAAAAAGAAGATGTATCACAATAAGGATTATTATAAATGCAGCTTCTAACAATATCACAATGCCCTGGTTTATAATGTCATGTACACAACCTACCATCCTTTCCAGCCATTCGGACCCATACATAGCAAGAGCAGCTGCGTTAATAATTACTATCAGTGATTAAAACATTAGCAACCTGGATGAAGGGATAGTGAAAGGCTCAAACCTGTTTGGATATCTTCCAGGGACGAGTGACTGCACCCAGATCGCATGCTGTCATCAACATAGACCTGTTGATGACATTAAAGCTCATTTCCATCTCTTTTTTTAAATTCAGTTATAGTTTGTGTTATTTTGATTTATTTGTATATAAATGTAGAAACCTGAGAACTTCTCTGTGTCCTTCATCAGTCCAGCTGAACTCTCCAGACAGAACATATTCAAAAAACTTGGTTCTGCGCCTTGCAATTAAAAGAGATAATCAAGGACAGAAAAAAAAGTTGAAGCACAATTTGTCCCCCTCCCCATCTTGGTAACCACCCAAGTGGAAGAGCTTTGCAATGACAAAAAAATGTGAAAATTATTGTTCAGAATATGGTAATACATCCAATAATTTATAATGATGTATGTAAGTTTACAAGTCACAAACTATTTTGGCCTTGAATGCCGTGAGGAAAAAAAAGCAACACTTACTCAAAGTGCAAAGTAAGGTCTGTGGAGAGAATAGCCTGCTTCAATAGTTGCATCATGTTGCTGTACTCTTTAGAGCTTAGGTTTGCAAAGATATTGTGACCCTGTGAAATAAAAACACAATAGCATGCAATACAGTGGGTACACACGCAAAAGCAGACGAGGATGAGTAATAGTGGCTAAAATGTCTCCTTAAATCCAATGCACCGGTAAAGTCATTGCTCACTGTCAAAAAAAGCTCCCTTTAGAAATGTTAATTAGCAGCGTGTTTGGACTTTCTCTGTCCGCTGCTAAAAGAAATCGATAAAAAAACACGGATCCCAATGATCAAACTGATTTTCACCTGAGACAAAGCAGCCTCTCGACTTTACTCGAACTCTTTAAACAGTGGCTTTCTGTTAGCCTAATGGTCTCAGTCCAACACTTTTAAATTGAATGCAGTCTGTGCATTTGTGTTTTCTGTTGTTTTGAATGTGTTTTCTTGCTGAGCTGATGTTTAGTTTAATCTAAAGGGACAGAAATTGCCGACTAGCCTCAGGCCATAGCATGTATTACTGATCCACAATTGAGCTGATTAAATAACATTTCAAAAATACACCAATGTCTGTCCTTGATTTTTTTTTTGACTCTGGTATTTTCGTTTCATATAAACTATTAAGATAAAAAAAGAAACCTCTGCAAAAACATAAGAATTACATGGAATTTATCAAAAAATAGAAAAATATTAGCCTGACCTCACTTTGCAGGATCATGACTGCATGGTTGAAGTGATGATGCTCCAGGGTGGCTGATGTCCCGTAAAGCAGGGCCAGAGCAGAACCTGTCCTGCAGGAACAACAGAGTAGTTACATTTCTCTGCATTAACAAGACACCAGTTCCAAAATCCACAGGCCTCTGTGGCGTACTTAGCTTGAAATGCATTGTTGGTGCCTCTGTGGTCTAAGTCATGGCACAAACAGCCAACCATCAGTGCCAATATCTCTGCATCTGACAGGACATCCTGGAAACTTGCTGTCTACACAATGCAAAGCAGATGGCCACATTCTTACCGAGTAATTTTAAATCTATTCTGTTTCATTTATTTTAACTAAATATTTAATGTACTTTTATAGGATAGGATAGGACATAGAAGCAACCCTAAGCAATAAGAGACCAAATCCACCACCATATGACTTCTTAGAAATACCTTGGATATACCTCTTAGAAATTTTTATATAGTTTATTCCATAGATCTATCTATTTGTGGGCATGCAAAACAACTTTACATCATTGCTTCCTGTAAGATATACATCTGACTTTTTTTGCTCTATGTTAAAATTTACCGTGATCATAACGAAAATGCACTGCGACACATTGAAAGCATGCCTCCAGTTATGGTATGCCACAGTTCGATAGTTCTTCCTGACAGTCAGAAGCCAGCGGCACAAAACCTACAGACAGATATACAGAAGGTATGATCATGTTTATGTATGGATGGATAAACATGCATATTACAGGGCACATTTCATGGCCTTACCTCATAGTCAATTTTAAACTTTTGGACAACACCAAGTTCCAGAAACATCCTGAGAGAAGCCGTGATCATGGCGTCGTTGTCCAATGAAAAGTCGTTGAAATGAAACTCATCAATGCCTAACTCACTGCTCAGGGGGATCTTGGCAGCCTTAGGGGGAGAGGACAGTGCTGTCAGTCACAGAGTGCCACTGAAGGATGACAGCATAGGCAAACAGCCTTCCAGTTTACGTTGCACCTTTATCTACTGACACATTTCACTATTTTCCTGACGTTGGTATAGTGCCTTTATGCATTATATAATGTTTTTATTTGATTAGTTCTGAGGATTACCTTCAGTCTGTCAACTTCCACCTTGGAGCAGGTAGCGTGATAGGACAACATCTGAAAAACAGAAAATAATGCAAAACACTGATGTATTAAAAAAAAAAAAACTGTCCCAGATAGTGAGGTGATGTCATGAGGGGATGGCCTAAACAACATAAGACTAGCTATCTAATGTACACTCACTGCTAAACAAGATAATTAATATTTACCAAGAGTGTTGATGTTTTTTATCTGTATTCACCGTCCTATGTAATCAGATCAAAGTAAATATGTATCTGCTTTTAAAGCCAATTTGTTGCTATATTTTTGGCGTCTCTAATCACAAAAAAATCCATCAGGTGATGAAAGAAACATCAAAGATTGTGTGACAGAAATACAGCTGTGTTTGTTGTCCTTGATGAAAACTGAGCAGACCTGCACGTGTATTTATCATTAATAATTTAAAAGCAACTAAAATATTTATGGTAAAGAAGAGGAATCATGTTTTCTGAGGATAATGTGACTGCTCAGGTTAGATACTGGGCACTGGAACAGAACGCAGACTGAGACACCAATGAATGTAAAGAGCCTCTGCTAAGATTAGCAGTAACAGTGGTGACACAGCATTTTTCTGGAATCGATAATTTCTCATACAGGTAGTTTGAATTCATTTTACTGTGTGTCCTAAAATATGTTTTCATTTCAGAGTAGTGTCACTGAAAATTATTATTTTTCCCCGTATATACCACATATTTCTAATACTGCTCCCAAATTGCTTAGTAATTTGTAATATCTTACAGTTTTGGAATTGTAAGATTTAGCATTAAGTTTATTGAAGTTTGCTTTTTCCCCACAATAAATATAGACCCATTTATGAATAAGAGTTGATTGGATTATTGCTACAGCTTATATTGTTATTGATACCATTGACCATAGTATTTTACTGCAGAGATCAGAACACACTGAAAGTATTGAAGGAATCCAGCTCTGCGACTCTATCTGATAGATTTCAATTTGTGTGTGTAAATGGAGAGTTACACATAAAAGTTAGTCATGGAGCTCCACAGCGTTGCATGCTGGTATCAATACTTTTAATATTTTACATGCTTTTACATGCTTCCCTTAGGCTGTATATTTAGAAGACATTACAGATATTTCCATTGCTATGCAGATGACACTCAGCTTTATTTACTCATTCACACTGTCCTGAATCTCTAAAATTAGCAATATTCTGTTTCAAAGTGATGCTGAAAAGCTACTTCATGCATTTATCTAATACTATTACTCTTGTAATTCATTATTTTCAGGGCACTCTAAAAGCTCCCTGAAAAACCTTCAGTTGATCCAAAACAAGAGTACCGACAGGGACCAGAAAGAGAGATCATATATCTCCCATATTAGTTTCTCTTCACTGGCTCATTGTTAAATTTAGAATAGAATTAAAAATAAATTTCCTTACATACAAAGTAATCAGGTAAATGTAAATAGAAGGTAGTAGTAAATATACATCAAATTACAGTACCATATTTTCCTAACAGCTCACCTTTCTATCAGGCTGCTGGCCTACTTTTTATTTGTAGAGTTTCTAAAAGTAGAATGGTAGGCAGAACCTTCAGCTTTCAGGCTCCCTTTTTCCTTCGTACTCTTATAAAATGCTTCCTTATTTAGGGTTGTGTGATTGATGGGGTTTTCTTTCTAATTTTGTTGGGTCTTTACTCTTACTTTGATGCAACTGTAGTTGTGAACTTGCACTATATAAATAAAATTGATTTGAATTGATATCAGATTATACTACCCATTTGATAGACTGGTAACTTGTGTAAACCACCACTCTCCTGTGTCAACTAGAAAGGCTTCAGCTCCTCTGCAACCCTAGTTAGAGAACTGGTTAAGAAAATGGATGGATGGATTACATGGAATCATCAAAACATAAAAGAAAACATAAAGTAAAGCGCTGTACAAATACAGGCCATTTACCATAAAAGAAAACTGGCACATGACAAAAAAAAAAAGAAATTATTGTATAGAAAAAGATACATAAATATATTTTATCCTCCAGAGAGACATAGAGTGATGGATAGAAGAACAGGCTTACATCCAGTGCTACAGACTGTTTAGCCCATGTCTTCTTAACTTGATTGTACATCATTGTGTTGTTGATTCCAAGGCCACAGAATATCACAAATGCCTGCACACAAACAACAGGCCAGAGGAAAAATATGAAACATGAAAAGAACCTGCAGATCTACAGTGTCACAGTGCAGACCAAACAGAAGGTTGCTAGTGTAGCTTAACCTCAAATAGCCTCTGATCTGCATCATCGAAGGTCTTCCTGTCCAGGCGGTTCAGAATTTGTGCAACCCCTGTGGAAAATATACATAAATCATGACTATAACATGAGGACTCGTTTCCAGTGAAACAAAACTGATTATTTTCTGGTTCACTTACCAATTATCTGATGAGTTCGATTCCAGATAGGAACACATAACACTGATCTGATATGAAACCCTGAAGCTTGATCTGCCTGCAAAGAGAGAAGCCATTTTTTACTTTTTTGGGGGGGGGGGGAACTGATATTCTTGCAGTGATAACAACGGCGCAAATGACTCATATTATCTGACTGTTTTTTAAATAAAAGCCTCAGATCTGATAAATACACTACACTGTGTATACCTCAGCATCAAAGCGTGGGTCCTGGCACACATCACTGATGTTAACAGGCAGTCCTGTTGAAGCCACCAGCTCAGCAATACTGTTATTGATTAGCCAGTCAGAACAGGATAACTTCTCCATGCTGATGTGGGCACTATTACAAAGAGGAAGCAACAGTCAAACATTAATATACAGAAACACTGACTACAAATTTTATCACAGTGAAATGCAAGTCTTCTTTTAATGTTAATCATATTTGTGTTTATTGTAATTCTGCAGTAGTGATCTATGAGCAAAATCTCCTTAACCTGATGTCACGGTCCACATTGCACAAAGGAGACATGAGTTCAAATGTCTTTGAGAACTTCACAACCTATGAGAAAAATCATGTATCACTGCAATCAGAAATAAAGTCATTCAGCAAATTTAAAAAAAAAAAAGGTTATAATGACTTTGGTTTAGTTATACACTGAAAATCAAGCAGCAGATGAATCTGTGAGGAAATGGGAAAAGAAAGGTCTCACAGGTGAGTCAATGTCCTCCAGAAGAAGCACAGAGCAACGTTCACACTGCAGCAGAGTCAGCGCTCGCTGCATGATCTTCCTGACAATCTTTTCCAGGTCGGTCTGTTCCTCAAACAGGTCATTGACCACCTCCAGCAAAGCCTGTAGCAGCAACAATAAACACCGTAACTTCATTTGTTCATTACACAAACATATTTCCACATTCCTAATAGAATATCACGCTGCTGAAGTTAATGTAAGCCTAACTTGTGAAAGGCAAGCATACAGCATGTTAATGTGTTTTGGAGTGATTATTGTGTTCAGTTATGTTTTTGTAAAAGCACAGTTTAAAACTTCTCACCCTGCTCCTTTCATACTCCTTGCGAGACTCTGAAAACAACTTAGCATTGGAAATCGATATTCCACAGAATGGTAGATACATCTGCAGCACCTGAATGAAAGCACAAAAAACTGGAGAAAGGCATGCACAATGTCTGCATGCTAATAATGATATAAAGCCGAATAAGAGAACCAGAAAGAGTAAATGCGCATACAAAGATCATGATGGAGTCAGCTGCTTCTCAGTGCAAATTTCTCTCAAATAGATTTGCTGTTAATGAAGTACTGATTCAGAGAAAGAGACTTAGTAAGACATCAAAGGCTTTAAAATGTCTGGACAAGCTGCCGGATGAAGCTTTTTCTCCTCCCTATTTTTACAGTCTTTGTTCCTGAAAAATAGTTTCTGAGGTTGCTCTGCCAAAGTTATATTTAGTGCTTTGTTTTATATACACTTGAAAAAGAAGCTTAAATCTCTCACAGCTTCTTTGAAGTTGAGCGTTAGAGCATACTATACGGATTCACAATGTATTTATTTCCACAAGTTTTTTCTGCCACCTTGTGGATGAATTTGTCAGTGCAACTGGTCTGCACGCAGAAGCAAACGTGATTTTTACAAACTGCAAATATCAGCATTGATGCAGTTTTTTGTTTTTGTTTTGTTTTTGATTTACCAAACCCTCCAATCTCCAGGATGTACGAAATATTATTGTCTCGTCAGCAGACTCTGAGAATTAAATTGTACTCATAAGCAGCGGAGCCGTAAATGAAGCTATAACACACGTATATTCTAGTAAGCCCATTTCAACTGGAACAGGGAGCAACTGAAAGTAACACTTTTCTTACTGTGTGTATGCACAGGCGAACGTATTTAATGCTCCACGCTTGAGTAAAAGCTTGACCTCTTCTCTTCCATTTTCTTGTGTTTTGATTCCAAGGGAACACTTTACCCCTCTCCGCAGCCATTAAGATGCAAATTACAAACAATATTTCCAGTTGCATGGCAAGTGTTAGTGTTGGGTGGTGGGGTAGACGATGCACCAGTTAAATTTAACTCCCTCGTTAAATGCCCTTAATGGCGCGATAAGTAATATTGAAGAAGATGAATATGAATGTGAAGCCCGCTGGTACGACAGGCGAATGATTTTCTTCTCTTCAGCATAACAGAGCCTCACCTTCTCGTCATCCTCAGTAAATGGGGTGCCGATTGGATTTTTGTTAATAGCTTGTACAACACCTATGACTTCTCCATCACTGTTGCAGATGGCCATACAGAGGATGGACTGAGTCTTGTACCCGGTCAGCTTGTCAATCTCATCACTGAAGCGGTGATCCTGGAATTGTGGTTATATAAACATACAGGCTATTACATATTTATTGACTGGAGTCCACATTAAAACACACACACACACACACACACACACACACACACACACACACACACACACACACACAC